GCCCTCCCACCCCGCAGGGCGGCTCTACCAGGCCTGAGACCACGTGAGCCTTCTTGTATTATACCTGCAGACAGCAGTGCCTAGCAATATTTCCAGTTGACCAAATATTCTAATCTTTTCATTTATATGCAATAGTCTTAAGTAACTTTTTATAGCGAGATAAAGATGGTATAAGTGTTAAAAAAAAAAAATCCAACTTTCCTGTACACTTTCATGAAAAGCACAACAAAAAAACACCAAACATCATCTGCGACTTTATTTCCTGAAGTTATATTCATGTGAATGAGAACTCAGGACTTCAATTTCTTTTTTTTTTTACATTGATTTTACCATACCTTTACAGTATGTTTCAATCATATACACGTTTTATCCAATCTTTCCTTTACATTGTTTCATACAATCCTTCACATATATTCTATGTTACATTATTAGTTTATTTACAAAATTCGACTACATTGTTTTTCATACTAGATCCTTCCCATTTCCCTCACCCACCCACGGATCAAACTGTGTGACTGCATGATTAATCCTCCACACATATACACACATCCTCACCTCTCTGCTTCCGGCCCTCCGAGGATCCTCATATTCATTCTACGATAATGGTTTTTGTCCTTATGGGACTGAGTTCCCTCAGCATAATGCTCTCCAGTCCCTTCCATGTTAGGTAGCAATTTACAAAATCATTGCTCCTGCATGCTGCTTATTATTCCATTGTGTGGATGTATGATAGTTTCTCAATCCTTCGATTGTGTTTGGACATCTGGGCTGTTTCCATGTACATGCGATGGTGAATAATGCTGCCATGAACACTGGTATACATGTCTCCATTTGTGGCTCAGTTCTCATTTTCTCAGGGTATATTCCAAGCAGTGGAATAGCGGGGTCATATGGCAGTCGTCAGAACAGAGCAAGGAAACACTGCACAGTTCAAAATTGGGGAGGGTATACACCAGGGATGTGTCCTATCTCGATACCTTTTCAATCCATACACAGAACAGATTATCTGGGAGGCTGGGCTCTATGAGGAGAAATGTGGCATTAGGATTGGAGGAAGATTCATCAACAATCTGCATTATGCAGATGACACAACCCTGCTTGCTGAAACTGAGGAGGACCTGAAGTGCTTGCTGCAGAAAGTCAAGGAAGGCAGCCTTGAAGGTCAACATCAAGAAAACAAAGATTCTCACCACTGGGCCAATCAGCAGCATCATGATAGTTGGTTAAGAGATTGGGATTGTTAGCAGCTTTAGTTTGCTTGGCTCCACAATCAACACTCTTGGCACCAGCAGCCAGGAAATTAAAATATGCATTGTGATGGGAAAGTCTACTGTTAGGGACCTCTCCAAAGTAATGAAGAGCAATGGTGTCACTCTGGAGACTAAGGTGTGCCTGAGACAGGCCACGGTCTTTGCAATCACTGGTGCTGTGTGTCTGAGAGCTGGACAACGACTAGGGAGGATGGAAGTAGAATTGATGCCTTTGAGCTGTGGTGCTGGGGAAGAGTACTGAATATACCATGGACTGCTAAGAAAATGGACAGGTTCGCCCTAGAAAGGGTAAATGCACCCTGGAGGCAAGGATTCTGAAGCTTTGTTTGACATACTTCAGACATGCTGCAAGGAGGGACCAGTCCTTGGAGAGGGACAACATGCTTGGGAGGGTGAAGGGACAGCACAAGAGATAAAGACCCTCTATGAGATGGACTGATTCCGTGACTGGGCAATTAGGAGTAGGTGTGTTGGAGACAGTGCGATTGGCACAGGACAGAGCAGGGTTTAGGGCCATTGTACACAGGGTCTCTGAGTCGCAGGCAACTCGGTAGCACACAACAACAACAAACAACAACATGGAATTTCTATGTTCAGCTTTTTAAGGAAGCGCCAAATTGCCTTCCAACGTGGTGCACCATTGTACAATCCCAACAACAACAATATATAATGTTCCTATTTTGCCGTATCCTCTTCAACATTTATTACTTGCTGTCCTGGTCAATGTTGCCACTGTAACTGGAGTGAGATGGTATCTCATTCTTTTGATTTGCATCTCTCTTATTGTCAGTGATTTAGAGCATTTCTTCATATATCTGTTGGTCATTACAGTATCTTCCTCTGGGAAAATTCTTTCCATGTCTTTTGCCCATTTTGTATTTGGATTATCAGACTTTTTCTTGTGGAGGCGCTAGGGTATTCTGTAAACTTTCATTATGAGGCACATCTGAGCTGGTATTGCCAGTTCCCAGTTGGTAGGTTTTTCTTTTCACCCTGTTGGAAAAAGTTTTTGATGCGCATAGGGATTTAATCTCTATAAGGTCCCATTCATCAATTTTATCCTCTTCAGATTGTTCATTTCTGGCTGTATTTGGCCAGAAATCTTTATACCATAGACTAAGTCTTTTAAGTTTGGTCCCAGTTTGCCTCTTATCATCTTTATGGTTAGGTCTCCGATCCACCTTGAGTTGCTTTTTGTGTATGGTTTGAGATGTGGGAACTGTTTCAGCTTTCTGCAGGTGGAAGTCCAGTTTTGCCAGTACCATTTGTTGAAAAGGCTATCATATCCCCATTTGATAGGTTTCATTTCTTTATTGATTATCAATTAAACATAGACAACTGGGTCCATTTCTGGGTTCTCAACTCTGTTCCACTGGTTTATGTGCCTGTCATTGAACCAGTACCATGCTGTTTTGGTTACTACTGCTGCGTAGTAGGTTTTGAGGTCAGGGAGTGCTATGCCTTACACTTCATTTCTGTTTCTCAGATATGTTTTGCTTATTCAGGGTCTCTTTTCTCTCCAAATAAATATGACAATTTCCCTATCTCCCTGATAAAATGAATTCAGTTATCTGGATTGGGATTGCATTGAACACACAGACTACTTTTGGTAGGACTGTCATTTTCACAATCTTGAATCTTCCTATCCATGAACAGGGCACATTTTTTCCTTTTCCTTAGGTCTTTAATTGTGTCTTGCAAAAATGTTCTGTAGTTTTCTTTGTTTAGGTCTTTTGTATCTCTAGTTAGGTCCACTCTCAAGTATCTCAGTTTGTGGTTGGCTATTGTAAATGGTACTACTTTCTTGATTTCCTTCTCTCAGTTCTCTTCATCACTATAGAGGAATCCCAGTGATTTTTGGATAGTGATCTTATATCCTGCCACTCTACCAACGTGGCCTACTAATCTTAACAGTTTTTTGGTTGAGTCTTTGGAGACTTCAATTTCTCTTTTGAGAGGATACAATTAAATCTGAAAAGGTCATTTATGATATTGAGCAAGACAAAGATTAATGACCAAAACAACATAGATGCCCATCAGTGGGCGAGTGGATGGGAGGCTCTGGTGTGTTCACACAATGGATTGCTGTGCTGCATGGGAGAATGGGGAACTCACACAATATTGTTCAGGGTGACCCTGGAGGATATTGTGCTGCGCGGAAAATCTCAG